AACGGAGTGGGGGAGGGACAACGGAGTTGGGAAAAGGATGAAGGGTGGGGAGGGGGAAAGGGAGCGGTAAAAGGGGAAGAGGAAAGGTGAGATAGAATGCACTTTGATGCTCCAGTTTGTAATTGACAATAAAAAATCGTTTGGAAGATGCATTTATTTTCCTTTAATGTTGACATAATATTGTATTTACATTAACTATCTATATTTTTGGCAAGCATCAACCCAAAGTCTTATCCGATGTGCCATTAACACAGAAACGCCTTTTAATTGGTTTTCGCTTTTCGGACACGTTCTGATATGAATAATATATATATTGGGATGACCACTGGAAGACATTTCAGCCAATTACAAGTATGTTGTATTGCAGGTAATCACGTGACTATATTTAAACCTCGGAATGTCCGACTGGTGGCGTTCTCATTTCTCAATTACGCGCGACATGACGGCAATTCTGTTTCCGGTCAATCATAATAAAATAAAACTTCGTGCGCAGACAGCTACATCTTGTGACAATAAAGGCCCATAAAGGACAAGATGGACTTGAGATTATCACACATTGAGTTGGGTATAAAGAGAGGAGGGAAAAACAGTGTTGGCAGGTGGCCAATAACAACAAAAATATCCATTTTCGTTGAAAGCTAATTACCGGAGTCTTTCCCAAATATAGGGCCAGCACTATACCAACACCCGTACCACAAGAAAATAGTCATAAACAAATCATAGATTATTATGAAAAAAATGGGAGGATAACAACACCATTTTAAGCATGAATCTTAAGGAAATTATGAAGAAGAAAGAAACCAGCAACGATATTATTGTTTTAAGAATACCTTTGTACTTTGTTTAAGGGTGCAAGATATCCCTCCGCGCAAATCTTCTACTTGTTTACATTTGTCAGACTGAACATCTCGATTATCATCAAGCCAGAAGTTTCTTAGAAGATATGCTATTCAGTTGACTTTGTTTATGGATGGATATATTGGTAGTAGAAACATATATATATATAAAGGTGTACTCCATTTATGACGTCACAGATGAATTCAAATTCCATGAAGAGCCCCAAGATGGACGAAAGCGCTAGCGAATTATAGTCATCGTGATTTGTTTTATATATATAATTACCATCACATGGACATTTAAAACTATTTATCGCTATTGGTAGTAGTATAGTATAGATGAAAAACAATTTATTACACCATGTTTTCAGGGTTTGTCGTTCGAACGATGTATAATATCAATGTGAATCAGACCAGATTAGCGATATTTTTATAGCGACCAGTGTTTCATCGAATTTTAACAAAAGCTTCTGGGAAAATGTTATAACTTGCCTTCATTACTTCATCCACACACTCACAAACGTCTTCGACAAAACCGACTTGTATATTTATCAATCTATACATAGCAACGCTAAACGGGCCTTATTATATGTTTGTTTGCTTTTTACGCTGATTCAATGTATGTTGTTTTCGCAGGAAACGAAGAACAATTGAAATGGTTAAACTGACTTACCTAAAGTAGTTGCTGCAACGTCAGCCATTCCAAGGAGCAGAGTTTCGTTTATTGCCGAGTGACGAAAATCCGGGTCCAAATATGACGTTACAAATGTCAATTCGTCAAAGTTCGGTAAGTTCCTAAAACAGAATTGGTGAATTCATTTTTAGATTTACTTGCCTAAAAATATATTTAATGAATATTTTACCAACGATAATTTATTCTGTGCTTTGCTTGAAATTAAGAACAATTTTTCATTTAATAATGGATAGGGAAGTTGTGGTCAAAACATAACGTGTAAGACACATACATATACTGTCATTAGTCTAATACAAAAATAAATGAAACTGGTTGGATGGATCGATTGATTAATTGGTTGGTTAATTGATTGATTAATTGATTGATTGCTTGATTGATTGCTTGATTGATTAATTGCTTGATTAATTGCTTGAAGTTTACGATTTACGCAACAGCTAAGGTGATCTCACGACGGTGTTCACTAATGATAAAGTTACTGATCGGTAAATGTATTCACCGGTCCTTTAATTCTGCTCAAGAGTTCATCAGAAATGTGTCGGGAGACATTACTGAAAGAAATAGTATAAACACAGAAAGCACCGTGGAGGACCAACAATATGCCAAACACGACGAACTACATTGTATATCCCATTGGAATACTTCAGACATCGGAAATGGTTCTTACCTGACACTCTCCATGATTTCTTCCTCCTTAGATCGGATAACATTCTGGAAGGATCTGTTGATAAAACCAGTCTGTAAGTAAAAATAAAAAAAATTGTCATTCAAAAACAAAAATAAATACAAGTTCATAAGATAATAATAATAGTATACAGCATTTGATATAGCGCCCTATCTAACTAATGAAAGCCACCCTAAAGCGCTTTACAGTACAAAGGTATACAATTAATGCAATTACATGTTGCATATACATTAATCAAAACGACTTTGAGGAATTCGCAGGAGCTGCCTTATCAGGCGCTAACTACTAGTCATATGCCACCTTGCTAATATCTCCCTATGTGTGTATGCCTATGTGTGTGCTGGAGATGTAATGTGTTCTGTTTGTAGTGGGGTCGTGCTTCTAACGACATCATTTATAGTGCCACCTTACTTGAATGTTACAGCACAGATACCGCAACATCAACCACAGACCAATTTATACTCCACCCGGGTGGTTGGAGAAAAAAAGTTTCTCTGAATATTGAACCCCTGCCGCCTGCGTGGTAGGCAAGAGTGTTAAGCACTAGACAAATCCGCCCATAACGGTGTTACATTTCATTTTAGATATACATTTCCTGTACCAAAACGAAAAAAGTCAAGGAGGTGCTGAAGTAACATTTCGATATTGATATGAAAGTTTATTGTCTAAACATGGATTTTTTTTATTGAGTTATCGTCGAAGACATATTTTTAGGATCTGGTAGCCAATTCGATTTATTTACCACGTGCAGACACCTGTTAGCTTACACTTTGTATCTCTGGCGTTATGTACGTGTGCTGATTAGAAATATATTTTAGAAATGCTTTCAAGGTTTTTTTGTATTAACAGAACCTGTCTGGATACAGAACCAATTTCAAGCATTTCTTTAGTTTCCCCAATAAAATGATTCTCTTTTGAACAGAATATTTCGCTCCCTGCTATATCATTATGCACTGGCAGAACTCTTTGTTCATATAAAGAAATAAAATTCAAAACATTTTACGATTTGTTTTTGAATCAGACATATGCTTTCCTCAAAGTTGTTTTTCATATTCTGATATTTCGCATCAATGCTCCCCACCAGCCATTATTTTTGAGACACACCATTACAGTGGAAGCAGAAACTAGCACCGATTCAAATGATGGGGTTTTTTTGTCAGAAAGAGAGGTCACGTTATCTTCGGAAGACTAAGGGACTGTCGAAACAAATTGGTTTTTGATAAAAAAAATAGAAAGTATCACTAAAGTGATGAAAATCCAACCACTTTCACCTCAAATCACTTTAAAGGCAATGGAATTGAAGCTCCTCTTGATAAAAAAAAAGGTCCAAATGGTGTCAATTTACACCTGGCAACGAAATGTGTTGTCAACGACTAATCGAATAATGACCGCACACAGGAATTGCCTGTGTCAATGTTTTTAATTTAAGCCAATAAAAATCAATAAAGTCATAGTTCCATAATGGTTTCTCTTGCACTTCAATGGTCATCTGTTTTGTCAATGGTTTCCTGTGTAGCTCAATGGTTCTCAATTTGAGCTCAATCGGTCCCTGTGCTTGTACCTGAACTTACATGGTTCCCTGTTTAATTAAATACTTTCTTTGTATCCTATGTTATTTACGATTTTTTCTCTTTTCTAAAAAATAACTTGATTTCCAGAGGTGACTTTCTTTTTTAGATTCAAATATTGTTTGGAGTCTCCATATATAGAGCGACTTTGGAAACGTCATTCCCGATCGTTAAATTGGCAAATGTTATTTTCGCCGAACACTGATATTGATAAAGTTACACATCTGTAATTACGTTTTGCTTCTGTGAATGGATGGGAAATAACATTCCGGAAATGTTTATAATAAGTGGTATTGTATCTCTTACTCTTACGGTAACCTAACGTCAAGTTATGTAGAAAGTGCGTATGATATGCATAACGCTATGTCTAGCATCCGGAATAGACCGGATGTAGCAGTCTGTTAAACCGGAAGTGTTGAACAACCATTCACCGGATGCACGATCGAACCTTGGCACAAGTAATGGATCGCATGTCACACAGACCCTATCGATATATCTGGGAAATCTCGTCATAAATAGCGCTCAAACGACAAGCCATTACCAGCAGGATTACTTTACAATAAACATAGCGGTCTAACAATTGTCTGGATATTTTTATTCGACGTCAATGCAAATTCGATGTGACTCCAGAAAGCTCAAAGCTTAGTGAAGTAGACACTTTTTAGAATCCGATTACCTTTGTTGTAGCGTATTTATAGTTAAAACATATATTTGAGATCGCTTTGCAAATGGTATGATCAACAACTTTAGAATGTCTTCAATAGGGACGGTGAATTAGAAAACAAAATGTCATAAAAAGGTCGTTGACTCAGATATATTACAGCCGATAACACATAAAACCTCTGTCAATTGCTTATCACAAATGTAACTTAAATATAAATAATTAATTAAGATATGGAATAACATTTATTTGAATATTTAGTTGTATTTTCTAATAAATATATCTACAACAATTGAAAGCGTTCAAATAAGGGGTATAATTTCTCTTCATACAGACATTTCAAATATTTACATTGTCTGTTTTTGTGGTCGTATAATTTGTTCCTTACATTTTTACTTATTACTTTTGGCATAGATTTTGTTGCATTTTCAAAATGTTCAGTTTGTCGCTCACAGCTCTTTTGCTTGAATGTTACTGGAGCTTTTAAGCTATGAAACAAATGGAAAAACGTCATTGATTTTGCTGCGTTATAATATTACATAGAAAATGTTTAGTTAACCACATGAAAACTTTGTCGGCATAGAAAATTGGCAAAAAGTGTGTTTATGTAATCTAATTTGGTTTTTTTAAACAATTTTCAATAACTGATAGAAATAAAGCAAAGTCTAACGCATGACTTGTACAATTGTTCCCGGTAATATGAATACGATCGTGACTGGCTTTTTCAACGTAATTTCAAACCAATTTTTAACACAGCCTTTTCTGCTTCAAAACCTTTGTGAATCCAGTGGTGTTTATTGAATTTGATGTAATTGAACATTCTAAAATGAATCTGTAGCAGATATCTGTATCTGTATTTTTAATTTGGATTTTCACGATAAAGGTATAAAGTACAGATATTCCATGCATATTTCAAAAGGGGAATATTTCAAAAGGGAAAACAACACATGTTAAGTTTTATAGGATAGCAAGTACTTGTTTTTCAGGATAAACCTGATTGAAACAGAACGGCCCCAAGCTAAATCAATACTTATTGTACCTGTTCGTGCACGCAAGCAAACTAAACACAATATCGCGAGACAACAGCATCCAACTTACTACTAAAAGGTTCGGTAGTGAGATGACCGCTAGCTATGTACCGGTTTGATCTAATTAAGTGATAACGTTACTGTGAGTTCATATACACGCGAAACGTTTCAGGTAGATTCAAAGCCAGAAAAGCACTTGGTCGAAGAGTAGCCAAACATTTTTTTTATATTGCCGATGGCACTACCAGTTCATCAGAACACAAATACAGATACAAGATCTTATTCCATTGATTATTCCATTTATAAACATTTTTCTTTCAAATCAGCAATCTTGACCTGGAGGCATTTTATTTGTAATACTTCTGTCAGAGTTTTATTTCTAAATGTTGCTATCATCTTTTTTGAAATCAACCTAGGGTATTTAGCCTTGAAGAACATTTTGATAATTATTCATCAGTAATGAGTTGTGCACATTTTCACAATGCGCATGCGCTTCAGTCGTATGATCTGTCTATACCAAGCCAGGAATAATTCGGACACTTGCGTCAACCTTAACAGTCTGAGCTCAAGTAAATTTTAAGTTAAACAGTGTCATCCGAATTTATTTTTGTAATAAATTTTGTAGTTTCGTCTGAAATGTTATTGAATAGATTATTTATTTGTTCTGATTATGAACTGACGAAACTCGCGTAAAGATGTTTCATTTCTGATAAAGGACACATTAAGTGGTGTAGCAAAGGGATAAGATCAGTGTTTAATTGGTAACACTCGAAATCGGATAGTTTTCATTGGTCAAACAGCGAACACAAGTGGCTGCCAGCTCGCACTGAAATGGTTCTTCATAACGAACTCTTCAAAAGCAGTACTGTTTATTTTTTGTTGTTAATTAAAATATTAGCAAAAATAATTTATTGTGAAATAAAATACTCTTTGATGAATGATGTGTTCTGTTTTACTGTTTGAAAGCAACACTGTTTCGTTTTTAGAAAGAAAAAAACATTAAAGGATATACAGATTCCCCGACCCGATTAGTCGTTCACTTTATGCCACTCTCGTTAGTTTCATTTCAAAAGTAAAAACAAAGTGGTGAACATCGTTTCCTTCGTCACTTTTGAAAATGAACCAATGCATAAAGATAAATATGAAAACTGGTCTTAACTTGCTGTTGACCTTCTAATAAGAGGCGATGTGAAGGAACCATTGCGCTGGAAACGTGAACAGATTGATTTATCGCTGATGACCGATGTTCGACTATTGATATGATTTGGGGTATTGTCAGAGGTGCTATTTAATACATTCTTTCAAATTTATAGCTTTTTAGCTTTCGTCGTCGAAACATTTACTCGTAAAGAACTGACAAACTGAGATCACGTGTCTCAAAAAATGTGAGCTAGAAATTAAAGTAAGAGTAGGGTCCGTGGGAACCATTCAGAAACGTTCGCGTTTGTTTCAGCGTACTACGGCTAGTGTAGGATAATATGTGACCTTATGCCGGGGAACGAAATACAATCTGAAAACTTTTAGCGAATAAACAATATTATACCGAAGGCAATGAATTAGTGTAAGTCGGTACGAAACCCTAGATATTGTAAACATACGATTCCAGTGTTACCGTGTGTTGCCCTTGAAAAGACACCACAGAACCATATGCAGTGTCGATGTCTACACATTTTCCTAACAAACTCGAATTTCTGTACTTAAGATCAAAGCGCGAAGACCTTCTGAATTAACAGAGACATCTTCTGTAAACAATCATCGGATATTTATTTTCACTGAATAAAACCACCGGCTTTTCG